AAACCACTCTATGATTCTGTGATCATATGATATCCTCAGTTAACACACACACACACTGACACACAAACACACACACACACACACTGACAAACAAACACACACACACACACACACACACACACACACACACACACACAATGGCTCCACCTGCCATTAGGCAGTCAAAGAGTTACTCTATAAGTAATATGCACATATCTAGGTGACATGAGTTAAGTTCCTGCTGCAGCAATTATTTATCAATTTCCTACAAAGCAGAATGTCTTCTGCGGGAGAAGCTACAAGAATGCTTTCCAGGAAGCCTCCCCTGACCCACTGGTTATAGGCACTTTTACTTATCTTCCAGCTCCCGTAGGAAATCATGCCAAGACAGGATCTGCACTGACATATCCTATATTTCGTCAGAGGGCTCTAGCCATTGGGATGTGAAATTGCCACTAATTCTTTGCTGAGCTTAAAGTGAAAAATGGACTGAAAAGACTTCAGGAATTACCATCAGAGAGATTTCATGGTTATGAATTACAGGAATGCACCAGACATCCAAGGAGAATGAGAAACATCTTCCATGGCCAGGTTCACCCTTACACCAGTAAGCACAGAGAACATACTGGATTAGGTGCCTTCCCACTGAAGCCACTGATTTTTGCTTCTTATACTCATACTTCTCCCTGCATTGTACATAGTAGCATTCCTCAGCTTTTTTTTCATTAGAAGAAAATATATATCCTATCAGTTTGAAAAAGATATCTAGAATATCTCACTTGATACACTAGTTGGGACAACAAATAAAGAAGGGAGAATTTAAGTAAATGAAAAAAAAAAGAAGACTGTTCAAGAAAATCAGTTTATTCTTATAATTGCAAACATTTTATTTAAACTGTTTTAATATAAATATCTTGTTACCACTGGGCACTTTGCAATGCTAAAAGGCATTGACAAATACTTGCTAAGTGGATTTGATTGACTCTGTTTTTTTGTTTTTTCTGTTTTAATATGCAACTGCTTCATGGACCAGTGCACCACAATCAAGTTAGCAGTTGCATAGAAAAGTGGGGATGTAGCTCAAGGACATGTCTTTTCTAAGGTGGCAGAAACTTGAATATAGGTATGGTTAAAACTGAGTATCTAACCATCCTGTCATGCCAACTAGAAGTAATTTGTTGAAGGGCACAGAGAAAATCAATGGTAAAGCAGCTGCTGAAACCAGTTCTTCTAAGTGCCAAGCTCATGGCCTTGAGCTATCTTCTGTCATAACACTGCTCTATGCAAGGTGACTTGCATTAACCCTTTAAAATCCTGGTGCCAGCGAGAGACAGAGGTTTAAAAGAAGAGTTGTGAGATGATTTTAAACAAAGCTTCTCCTACATGGATTTCTATCTGCCACACTCACATATACCTACAGCTTAGTTGCTGAGTCTTCCCAGTTTTCATTTGATTTCAGCTTTTCTCCTTTTATCTCCCACAGCTGAACACCTCACCAGCCCATTCTGAGTCCCTTTTTATGGTGAGCAGAGGTGCAATTAATTCCTCTTCACCTTTTTCTGTTTTATGAGTAACTGTTGGTGTATAAAAACTTCTTGCCTTATGATGAGGAATAAGAAGAGAATAGCAAGCTGATTCCCAGATGTCTAAAAGTGGAAAACATTTCCTCTTTGAGCCTTTCCTCTCAGCTCACACCTACAGTTTTCCCACATTCTTGTCCATCTCAGCATCAAGGACTCCTCCAACATGTCTGCCCTAACAGCATTTTATTTCTTCCTTTCATCCAGCAGCAAGACTACACCATAGACACTAGCTGCCAGCTTGTGTGGTGACCACACTATATGCAGTTTTCCTTGGAAAAGGAAAGTTAGAGCTTGGCTGAGGAGATGGAGGTAAGCACGTGTGGAACCAACGCTGCTATGAAATGAACTTACGCATTAAAGCGAGCCCGTACCACCACTCGGCAGAAGTTCCTGAATCTGTGCTCACGGCCAACTATGAAAAGGGGTTTATCGAAATACGGGTGATTCTCTCGCAGCTCCTCCTCCTGGACTTTCCTTTTGAAAGAAAAGAATTTATTCAGTGTTACACATCCCTGGCAAAAATATCCCTTTCACTTTGTTCTTTTTGTTCATGTTGACTCTTAATACTTTTAACTTCATACAGGGAATAGTTAATACAGAAAATGTACACTCAGACTTTTAATTTTTAAATACCTTTTCATTTCTGCTTGTTCCTTTTTCTCTTGGATCATCTTTATCTCACTGTCTTCTCTCTGTGCATTTCTGTATCTCACTGTGTTGGAATGCTAGAAGCAAAATTATTCCTTTTAATCGAGGTCTAAGGGTTGTTATTCTTTAATGTTTCAGATGAAAGCAAGGTATAGTATTTTAAATAGAAATATACAAATAAAAGATCTTTATTTCCAAATGTACTGCACATCAACTCAGTCAAGCATACTGCACAGTGTTTTCTATCTACAGCAAAGGCTCCTTATTTTCATCAAGGTTAATTTCAGTTCTAATTTCATGCTTGAAGCTCTATCTAATCTAACTTTTAACTTTAAAAACAGAGGTCCTGTAAGACCAGCCAACCTCTCTGAACTGGAATGAATACAATCAAAGTTACTAAGGGCAAAGACTGGGAAAGAAAAGGCTTTAGACACCCTTTCATCTTCTCAAGCCTGCTGCATGGCTGCCCGGCTGCAAGGCATGCAGATCATACAGGTAGTAACTGCTGAGTGCAGGGACGGGGGAGGGAGGGAGAGTAGGAGGAAAGGAGAGAGGGAAGGAGGGAGGCAGGATGCTGTCTGAGCTCATGCAGTGGAGGGAACAATCAGCATGACCATTCTGAATTATTTGAGTCTTTGAAGCACTCCTGGTGGAGTAAACCTGGTGGGGTTATCCTTACTGTTAGCTACAAGGAAAGCCACATCTGCTTTAGTCACCTTTATAGACTGAGATAGTCTTGAAATGGGTGACTAATATTGTATCTTGAAATTTCATTGCCACAGAGATCCACAAAATATCATAAGAATTTGTAGAAATGAAAATGCACTTAACTGCACGAAATTACACCACAGTGAAATCCATGATTACTATTCTCACTTTCAGTCTTTGTCCCTTTGTCTGACAGTTGCTGCTTGGAAAATATTGCTAAATTTCCATCAGAAATTTTGAACTGCTCTTTTCCCAGCTGGAGTGATTTGTATAATTCCAGAGTAACTCTTTTTAAGGTGTACTGGGTAGCATTGCTGTGTTCCTAATGCAGTGTCAACAGATTCAGTGAATCTATCTCAGCAAGTGTTCCAAAACCATAAGTCTATCAGTGGATAATTATTTTGAGGATAATTCCAATGCAGTTACAGCATTTGTCTTACAACTTCCTTTCAAGATTTGAAAAGACAAATTGCAAGCAAGTTCATAAATAGAATTAGTCTTACACAAGCATTTATTTGATAGTATATATTCTAACTTCTTATGTTCTCAAATTTAAACCAGCATTTCTATGAGGACTTACATCTTGAGTCAATGTTTCAAGAGATTTTCCTCTGCTGATTCTCTGGCTGTTTGAACCATGTCTCAGTGACCTGAAACAATCATAATCAATTTAACAATACATGTCAAGATGCAATTTTGACCTTTATGAGGTGACCATTATAAAGCACTTCTCTCCAGCCACACAGTATCTCTAATTCTTATCATTTTTCTCTTGCTAACATCAGAAGCTTACATGCTCTTCAATTGTTTTCAATCTCATCTAACATAAGCCAATTTCTGTCCTTCTGATCTTTAAATTGATAGCTTTGTAGTTGGCAAAGGAAATTACATTTGAAATAAAAAGGCATTTTTCCATTTATACAGTACAATGAATTTCATTATGGTTACAATGAAGAATGTAGAATTCAGTTCTTTGTACAAGTAAGTAGTTTTGTCTTTTCATGTGTTAGGGATTGCTCAAATTTAATTCCCTTTATTTTAAGAATATTTTAAAACCATCCTTCCTGTCCATTTTTACCTGCGTTCTTGTCGTATATGATGCTGGACACTAAGTATTGACCTTTCCTTTGCTGGCTGCCCCTCAAATGATCCACTCAGCATGCGCTGTCTAGTGCAGGCCCTACAAAGAAATGTAAAGATGATGACACAGTTTTCTGTATAAATGATCATTTCAGAGGTAGCACATTCAGAGAAAGCAGCCTGGCTTTGTGGGGAGCAAGTACTTCAAGAACAATAGAGAATAACAATACAAGAGCAATGGACTTTCCATGAAAATATTTCCCAAGCAATGGACCTCCCCTCTGCAATACAACCTGTCATCCGATGAACCTTCTCCATGCCTTAGCAAGAACCTTCTATGACTTTTTTTTCAGCTTGCTGTAGAATTTTTGGTCCCTCAAGACTTCACAAAGAGTGAAAGGCATCAAGCAATGCACTAACCACCAGTAAAACCAGTTTCTCAGCAATAAAGAAGAAAATTTTAAAGAACAACAATTTTAGTCCCTTTCAGGGCTTGGCATACACACTTAGGATCTAGAACATAACTTGGAGTGTTCAAAATAACTGGAACCGTATCCAGTATGAAATGAAAACCTGCATATTGCTGATATTCTGTAATATGAAATATCTGTTCTCTGGGAATGCAGTCAACTTGCAGCATTTTGTTGTGTGGGTTTTCTCACTTGTTTGCTCATGGTTCATTTTGTTTTTTGCTTGATTTTGGCAAACGCATTTTACACATTTTGGCAAAAATTAGCATTTGTTGGCCAGTAAGTGTGCCACAGCTAAACAGAGCATGTATATCTTTATCTTGATGGCTACAGTGAAATTGATTTGCTTATGAAAAAGACAGGTTTCTACTAAAGAGCTCAGACAGATCCCTATGATGGCTGAGAAATGGAATTTCAACATTGGTAGCATGTTTTAACTTTCCAGAATGGTTCAACTTAAAGTTTCCAGTATGCACTCCTTATTGCTCATTTTGTGTTATGAGATCATTCAGAGAAACACAAGACCCAGATGGTAATATTCCATACTTTTTATTGAACTGAATCGTCTTTTTTTCTGAAAAGATGAAAAAATTATACACCCTTTGTGTAACCACTCTATCTGACAGTCTGTAAGGCTTAGATAAATGCTTTGATAGCATGGGATGATCATGCTTGATGGCAAAAGGTGTCCATGACATGTTCTTTCCCCACCATGGCTTTGTTTTTCACTCTTCTCCACTTTTTCTCCTTCTTTTAGATTTAAACATGTAAATTATACAAGTAGGAATCCCAAGTGATATCTGGAATAAAAATGAGAAGCTTAGAATGCCTGTCAGTGCCACCACTGCCAATCAGATTAGCATGCTAGAAAAATACATTGTGCTACACTTGTTATAGAAAGCATTAGGTTATACTACACTGAACTAAAGCATCATGACATGCAAGAAAATTACTGCATTTCTTATAAAACATAGCTCATCTTAGACAAATCATGAATCTTTTAATACTGAAGGATTTAGTGCATTATATTGTGGAGGATGACACCACATAACACTGTTAGAAAAACAACTGAGATGCTTGAGTACCTTTGCAATTTTTGATTGAATAAAGGGGAAAAAAAATATTTCCTAAAAATAAATCCTATCTCACTCCATTAAAATGACAATCCAGTTTTTCCCGGAAGAGACCATGAAAAGTTCTGGGATTTGAGTTCTGTATAGAGTCTTCTTAGAGTGACAAAGAGGCTAACTTATCTCTGTTTTCCCCTCTAGATATAAATTATTATGCTTTGCTTCTAATAGCTAAAAATTATTTTCTTGACATCAAAATGTAACTTGTACATCAACTTATCATGCTTTTTATGTAGCAAATTGAATTCCAAGTCACATAAACACTTAGTATTCATAATAAAAGACAGCTTTAAATGCTCAAGCTATGAATTCTTTACCTGAATAATGAACAAGATGGCTTATTTGATTGTTAATAATATTGTAAAATAGACATAGCCATATACTATGGGCATACTATGGCAGAATGGGCATGCATAAAAAGTAACACCTGCAGAAAGACTTTGTATTGTTCATGATCTCCAAGTTAGATTTCTAAATCTGTATTTAGCCTCTACATCCACTGCCTCATTTTCAATACCTCTGGAAGTCCTGTAGCTCTTGTGAAGTCAACAGAGAAATAATGAAATATCAGTTGTTTAACACAGAGATCAGAAATTTTTATCAGATAATTGCAAAGAAACATTTATGCATCTCCAGAGAAGAAGATCTGCTGAAAAGTCCTTGTCTACTTTGGACAGCCTCTCTCCTGGCATTTTCCACTTAATGGGAATTACTGCCTTGGGAATTAATCTTCCTTGTATGAACTCTTAGTAAGAGCCATGCTTAGCCTTTTGACTCAGAATCTGGATAGTTTTCAGCTGCTTAGACACCAAGAGTTGCAGATCTTTGGGGACTTTTGAAAAAGATGGCAGGTGCCATGAATTTTTCAGAATTGCAGAGTTGCCAGTTTTAAAGCCTGCAATAGGGTTTGTGTTCTCACCGTAGACATGTACACATATGTGCTTCCTCTCAGTGTCTTCCTGTGAGCCACGTGTCCAGGCTTTTAGCCAACTCATAGCCAATGGAGATGCAGGACCCAGTTAAATTTGCTGTACAGAGTTGGCCAGAATCACCTGCCACGCCTTGGAGTATTTTGCTTTGCTTCCAGCTGCTGCTACAGCAGGGTACAGTACCCCTAAAAATTTGTGTATTACTTGCTATCTTACAGAAGATGTTTTGGACATCCTCTGGCATCTCACTAATTACTATATATGTCCATATGAGAACAACTTCATTGAATGCTTGGTCAATTAATTTAATTAATGATGTTTGGAAGGTATTAAAGTAACCATAAAGTGGGCATCTAAAGACAAAGCACAGTGGCCATTTTTCTTGCCTTGATACATTTTTATGTAACTGTAGAACCTTTTGACCTTTCTTCAAACAACAGAGGCAAAATTACCCTTTTTATCTAAAATTACCCTTTTCATCTTCCTATACCACCTTTCTGAAATATTAGATAGGTTTAGTTTCACTTGTGGAAGAAGATGGAAGGTATAAAACAAAGAAGAAGAGACAAGAAATATCTCAAGCTTCTGGACTTTGTACTCACCTTGCAGAACTCTGAACATAGTTCAGCAGCTGCTAACCACATGCTCCAAATTTGCCTTGAAAAGTGCAAATATAATAAAATGTCCTGAAAGAGAAAATGCAATTCCTTAGGTAACCAGAAAGCCAGATGAAGATCACATGGAACAAGACAATACTAGGATACCATGCAGTTTGTACCACCTAGTTTGTCTAGTTTGTATTACCTGCAACCAATTAGAGGTCCACATTTTTGAAGTCCTTCAAACTATTTCATGCTTTAGAATTCCTGAAAAACAAGTCATGAACAGAGTGCTCAAGTAGTATTCTTTGACCAAATGTAAAATGTTAAAGGCTTGGATCAATAATTCAAAATACTATACCTTTCATGAATATTCTGAGGTCTCTTGCAGAGGTAAGCATGTGGCTCACACTTGGATTTTTTAGTCAGGCATTCTTTCTGCAACAAGTGCTCACTCATCTTGCATTCCAATATAACACTGTTTTGGGTTTTTTTTTTCCTGTATTTTAATGTGTGAGTATTTATGTAGTAATTATAGCAACTGTATCTATTACTATGTACTTTTGTTGTTCTCTGTGAAACATGCTCACACTGAAGACTTAGTAGTGTGGTGCACTTCAGTGCAGTTACCAGCATAATTCAGCACTGTTTTCACTCTCTATGACTCTATCCTTACTAAATCTTTCTATGCTCACATTATAATTCCACAGAACTTGGAATATATGGTTAACTGTAGCAGCCTAAGATTCCTGGGGAATCCACCTGAGAGGCATTGTAGTGTTTCTTTCTTTAATTTATAAATTTAATTTAATAAGGCACTTTTTGAACAGCCAGCACAATGCACATTTTCATCACATCTACTCTACTGTTCTTTGTAGGAAAAATATACTATTTTCTAAGAAATTTGAATCTGGCTGGTGAAATAAAATGGATTATTAATGGAACTTGGATAACTCAGGCTTTTTTCTTTTCCATGTTTTTTCTTGTTTCCTTCCATATATCTCTAAAGCAAAAAATCAAATAGTCACTAATTTTCTTTAGTGACCACTCAGGCAGGAGCTATGGTAGAAGACTTTCTTTCCTTTGGCAATTTTTATTGTGATTATCATTCTTGCCTTGCTGTTTCAGCTTCTCTTCTCACAGATGTTTATATAATAACAATTCTTATTGGAGTGTAGAAGAATCAATAAAAGTAATGCAGAAGAAACCTCAAGTAGTTACCACCTCTCTTAAAATGGATCAATTCCATACCTTCAGTGTTGGAGATCCCATAGCCTCAAAATCTGGCTTCACAACTGTGCTTTGCAGTAATCCATAACAAGGTGTTCATTTGGCACAAGCCCCATGAAACAGAGTAACTTCTTTCCAATGGATATGTGCATTCCAGTATTTCTTTTGGTTTGTCTTTACATCAGGCAGGTGAAATTCTGTGATGTTGTATACTTGTAGAGATTTAAGTGGTGACTAAGTCTGGATTTTGCATAGATGACAAAAATCATCAACGGAACTTACCTGGAACATTTGTTCTGAGAAATGCATGGGGTCAAAACCTCAAAGTTATGAAGAAAAAAATCATATTCTTAAGAGGGAAAACAAAATATATGTCAAGAAATTTGTTGCAAGTCAGGACCAGCTAATACAAGTCAGTTATTTAACAAAGGCAAATTTTTAATAAAGGGTACCAAAGGTACATCTTCTAGGATTATAGAATCATAGAATCATTTACATTGGAAAATATCTTTGCTCATTCTCTGTATTAATGTTCAGGGAGATTTTATTTAGAGATAAACTTTATAGCTTTCTTAGAAATCACTGTATTTTGCAGAAATACTTGTATGAACAAAGTCTGAATTATCTTCTAGCATATTAACAGACTAGAATAGGATACTTAATTCTTTCTCCCCTTTCTCCCTTCCCCATGTTCCCCCTCCCCCAGCATTCTCAGTTAAGGATAAATGCACTTCCAGGAAGTTGTTTATGAAATGGAATGTTCCACTTAAGCATGAGTTAAGCATTACTCCCTCAGGACCACATCAGACAAATCTTGTCTAGAACAGTGAAAATCTTATTGCACACCCCTAGCATCAGTTGACTATAGGATCAGCTGTAATGAAAAGCAAATAAAATACTGCCTATTTGAAAAAAAAAAAAAAAAAGGTTTCCAAACTGTCACAATATATATTTTTATATACATTGTAGAGTCTCCTTCCCTGGAGATATTCAAAAGGTGTCTGGGTATGGTTCTGGGCAACTTGCTCTGAGTGGTCCTGCTTGAGCAGGAAGGTTGGACCAGATGACTTCCAATCTCAACCATTCTCTGATTCTGTGAAGCATGGTTTAATGCACACCAGAATCAGGTTTTGCACTATTGACACTTTGATTATGTTTTATACTATGTGAGATTACTTTTAATTTGCTCATTTTCCCCACCATTCTGGGCTGTTTACAACTTATCCTCAGCACTGCAGAGAATGTAGTGATTTATATGTGTGTACATTTTGACTGGGCCTGCTCTACTCTCTCTACTTCAGAAAGCCAGTGGGACTAATGAAGGACTAGACCCCATTCTTAGATAATGATTGAGCAAGGAATGAGGGTCAGGAGAACTACAGGCACAAAACTTGCTTTTAAGAGGAAAAGCAGTGCTTGCATCAACACAGAGTGAGAGAAAAGTGTGAAGCACTGAAGATATGCAGGAGCAAGTAAATTTGTGATAAGTTGTTATTGTTGCTGAGGGAAATGCACTGTAATTTTCAGAAAGGAATGGAACTGTTTGCAATTCAGAGGCACTAATAAAATGGATCTTGTTTTGAAAAAGTTGTTCTAAAGGTCTCTAACTTGTACTTTATTTCATTTTTCAAGGTTGAAGTCCCCATCTCAGAATGGGTTTATGTGAAGGGTTAAGGCCTTCATGGTCTGCCATGGGCAATGGTGATGCAAAGCACTGATCAGAGTAAAAGTACCAGGATAGTAGTTGCTACATCCTTGACTTGGTTCCCATGTCTAATTGTGCAAAGACCTCAAGGAGGCAAGGTGAAGACTGGCTTCTAAACTAGGATGCTTGGAAATGCTCCCTGGAGGTGTGGTAAGAAAGCTGCAGGAAAACAAAGATACCCAAGACATCAGATTTCCTGTATAATGTAACAGCAGATGAGCAGGTGAGACACCTAGGACCGAGTGCATGAACCATCTCTCTTGGTGGTCAAGGGCTACTGGTGTCCTTCTTCCTCATCTTGGGAAATAAGATGTATAGCTGCAGCTCAGCATATAAAAGGGGAAAAGTTTGGATAGAGAAGGATGCACAAGAGAGACATGAAGGTACCTATGTGTAATACATGGTCCTCCTATAGTTGGTTATACTGAAACATTTATGATTTGATTAAAAAATAATTTGGCAAGGTTTAAAAACTAGGGGGGGGAAGGTCAGAGGTGGACTTAAAATTCCCTTTCAGCACAGCAATTTTATCAAGTTGAAGTTGCCCATGGGCAGCTTTACTATATAGAGGTATTGCTTTGGAAAAATGTTTCTTAATTGAGGTAGACAAAAATGAAGATTTTGCTGGAAGCAATCTTTTCAGAAGGGATATTCTGAGTTATCTCTTATTGTTCTTGGCATAAATGCCGTTTCTTCTTTTGTAAGATACTTTGAATAGCTGAGAGTCATCCAATTTTATGAAGGAGTTTACAGCATTTACAACTAAAGCATAAATACAAACTAGAATCTCTCATGTGTTGAGAGTTTGAATTCTCCTGTGTTATTTCAACTGAATCTTAAGTTTCAGCTGTAAGTCTTATCACTTCTTTTTCTGTTTGTTAAATTCCCATGCTGTCAACAGTTCTGTCACTGTCATTAACATGGAAACACTGGCAGTGCTCAGGACCAGCCAGCCCATCACTGGCAATCTCTATCAATTTGCCTACCAGATATGCCATGAACACAATCTTCCCATGCTGGAACAGGTGCATTGCAAGTGTCATAAAATCAGAGCTTATTTCAGAATTTTGAGTTAATAACAAGGAGCAATAAACAGTATTTGTTCTTTTTCTCAGGAGAGAGAAGACTCTTTGTAAGACTCTTTGTAAATTACTTACAAACAGCCCAAGAAAGCATTAGAGGACATGTAATCTGTTTTTTTCTTACTTGACAGAAGTTCCCTCCTTTTCTCTGTGCTCCTCAAAGTTTATTGCTGATGATGCAGGAAATAGATTGGAAAACTCAGTAAATGTAGGTTAAATTATTAGAGTAAATAGATAATTAAAAATAAAATAGTAAATTAGTAAATGAAAACTTTATTCTTCTGCCTCTGAAACTTCAGAGGAATTCAGGTGAACTGATAAGAAGTTTTTTTCTGTACAAGACTTTGGCAGAAGCCATGAATTCAGCAGGATTGAAACTGGCAGGACTGCTTCCTGGTTCTGTCCTTGTATCTCTGAGACCTTAGTAAGTCTAAACAATGGCTTGCTTGGATTCTTCTCCTGCTATTTCAGACTTCTCCTGAAAATGAGGAAGTTCCATGCTGATGGAAAAATTATGAATTTCAATTTCCAGAATGGAATTTTCTTCTCCTATCTAAGAAAGAATGGATGATATCAGGGATTAAGAAAAGCAATTGAATATATAAAAGTAGGGTTTTTTCTTTTGTCTATGTTTTTCCTCTGTAGTATAGTGTATGAAATACACTAAGCAAACTGACATTTGTGGAACCCTGGAGGTGTCAATAAGATTTCACAGTTCTCATATAACAACACAGAATTTCATTACAAATGTTTTACTGAAACACTGCCAGGATGCCTGTATCTAAACCTGTATTTTTAGAAGTATTTTCCCTAATCTATCTGTAACACTAATTCCTGTAAAATCAAGGCACACAAGTGAAAGAAATGCTTACAAATAGTGCACTAAACTTTGTTAAGATAGAATACTTATGGTATTTAATTTACATTTATCAATAATATTTTTATAATGAGTATTCATTTGAATTAGTAATTGTTTATGTTGTCATTATATGGGTTTAAAGATAGAAAAAGTTTCAAGTTAAGTTATACAGTTCTCCTGTGCTGTGTTCTTACAGAGCATTAAACAGAACCAGAGCTGCAAAACTTCTCAAGAAACATCATGATCACAAAGAACCCCTAGTTCACTGCTCCTTATAAAACATTTTCTTACTTAATCTGTACTTTTTAGATCAGGATTCCTGTTAATACTGTGTATTTACCTAGGACCTCTCACTGACAAAATGCACACATAAATGTAAAAACTGTGACCTATAAATTGTTTTCGTTATTAATGCACCTTCTGTTGACAATAGTCATTCTGATGTAAAACCAACAGTGGCATGAAAAACTGCAGCATGGAGTTACCTAAATGATAACTTTAGAAATGGGTCTTGGAGACTTAGGCTTGCATTATTCACTTACAGTACTGCGTAGTTACTTGATACGGAAGACCAAAAGGAGTGATCATTATTAAAACATTCAAGAAATCTTTATACAGAAAGAAGTCATGGTTCTGAAATCTTTTTCACTGTCCATTTGGTACTTGGAATATGACTAGCTGTAGTCCATGCTTTCTAGTGCACTATCCCTGCAAACATTTATGTACAGATATTTGCAAAAAACATACTAGAATTCTTTAGGCAAAATAACACCCCTTAGGAACACACCACAGTTCATTTAGAAGGAAGAATTTAAAAGAGCTTAAACATGATTTTATTGCATGATACAATTGAAATATATACTGAAGAAGTACAATCCTTGTCTTTTTGCTGTTCAAGCATATAAAATAGCCAAAGAGCAATTTATCTTTGCTAATGAAGGCAATAGATGTACTACAAAGGGATACACTATTATGAATATTATACATCCAGTAACATTAGTAATAAACAAGGTTGTGCAAAATCAGATGACAGTCAAAACATTATCAAATCACATCTGACACTTACCTTAGAATTTTATTGATTGCTGTCTCTTTTTCCAGAAGGTTTCTTGCTCTGATGCTGAAAACAGATTTGCGGAGCTATAAAATTAAGAAAAAGACAGCATAATTTTTAATTGTCTTAAAATAGAACTTGTATATGTAACAGACCTATTAAATATTATGATGCTGAGTGCATAAAAAGGATGGTGGAAAACAATCAAATGCTTATGTACATCTTTTGGCCTTCCAATTTGACCCAGTCGTTAGGTAGTTCTGTGTAGAAAGAAGTAGATTTGCTGGCTAGCACAAAATTGCTTTATTACACATTTCTGCTCCAATTGGCCAAATCACACTGTTTTGCTACTCCTTCTCCACTTTGGATTTTGACTAGATTGGATCATACTCTGCAGATGCCTTGCTTGTATAAAAGAGCCAGCAAACAAAGTTCAGATGTATCATTTCAATGACATTTTTTTCCCCACAGATGCAGAGAAAAAATGTGTTGAGCAAAAAATGTTTTTGTTTGCCTCTGGTCATGAACAGTGTTTCAGGAATCTTCTTGTGAACAGGAGTTCCTGAATGGGAAATGAAAGGACTGAGATACATGAAAAACAAGCAAGTGATTAACAAACATGGTAAATCAAGAAGCAAACTACAGCTGAAGAATTTAGCTCAGGAATTGCACCTGTGATGAACAGAAAGCCTCTGGCACATTGTAAGATTTAAATCTGTCAACTGTTTGGAGATCATTATCTTGAAGAAAATGGTTGAGAGAGATTTGGAAACTCTTAGCAATCTGTGTCCTGGTTTTGATCAATCTGAAATGGAATCTTTAAGCACATTTCTTTACATGTTCTTTAAATTTTCTAAAACACTACCTCAAATCCAGTCATTTGACAAATAATTTTGCCAGAATTTCTCTGAAGACTCATAATGACTATGAGTCATGGCAGATCTTACTTTGTAGATAAACAGAAGCTTAGAAAATTCCTTAAAAACTTGTTAATTACACTGGCTGTACTTAATAAAATGGATTTCGCTTTTTAAAGCATAAACAACTGCTACAGCAAGCTACAATCTCTTTCCTACCCCTTGCATTTACAAGTGTGGCCCCTTTAACCTTTCTTATGTCTCATCTCTTCTCTATACAGCCTGTAGAAGTAATAACTCAGATGATTTGAAAACATCCCTACTTTGAGAATCTGTGGGCTCCTTAACCAG